AAAAAAAAAAAAAAATTTGCAACCCTGCCTCAGCACCCCCTAGTGGCTAGGCCCATATCCCACAGGCATGTCTCCCTGGATCTGGCTAGTGGCTCAGTGGTTTCGCCACCTGCTGCGAAAGCACAAGGACCCGAGTTTGATCCCTGGTAGGTATCAAAAAAAAAAAAAAAAAAAAAAAAAGACTTGCAACGTCTAAGTTTGCTTGAAGCTAAACCTGAACACACATATTTTTCTTTCATACTCCTGCTGGAGATTTCAAGGTAAAACACTGTTTCATTTATGCTCAGCTGCCAGAGAATACAACAGTCCATTGCAAAGGGAAAGTCAGCAGCACTGTCAGCTGAGAGAGGCATTGGGCGTTAGAAGCAGAGTCCCCTTCCAAGAAAATGAAGCTACTCATGGTGCCCCCATGCTGACAATACCTCAGCCAGAAGTGAGGGAGAGAATCAATCACACAGCTACAAGAGTGGGTGCTACCACCTCTGACCACAGATGGTGTAGAACTCTGCTCCCCAAACAGAGCTGAAAGCTAAGGCCAGACATGTGAAGAAGATGCACTTGTCTTGGGTGACACGAATGTTATTATCACACAGTCCAGTGTATTTACCAAGGGGATTGTTTTCTTTATAACATCCTTAAAATCTCTCTCATGTTCATTCACTTTTCAAATTAGAACATGGAGAAGGTTTCTTATGGTGCATCTGTAATCATTACTGAGACAGTTAAACTTTTTTAAAAGAGTAACATAGGGCCGGGCGGGGATTTAGCTCAGTGGTTCTGTTGCCTGCCTCGCAAGCACAAGGTCCCAAGTTCGATCCCTGGTACCCATAAAAAAAAAAAAAAGAAAGAAAGAAAACAACTAAAAGAGTAACATAACATACAAAGCCCAGTCCAGTCAAATATCCATCATATGCACGCTTGTTAACTATACTCAGAACATATCTAATGGTATCTGAGATACAAGAAATTTACAGACATTTCACCATGAAGAAAGCAAACTAAGGGTTCAAGCTATGTACCTAAAACTTCAAGACCCAAAAGCCACTAAGTATCTACAAATGGCCAGTCTTTTCCTTCTAATTTTCTACTACCCTAAGGTTTCCTTTACAGAAAATCTAGATTGTTTCCCAAAAGTAACTATAATTCTGCAAAATGAGTCAACAGAGAACATGAGACCAAAGGAATTTCCCCCAATCTCATAAGATTCTAATAAGAAGTCATGAAAGACAGTAATGCAGTAAAACATCAAACATGATAAAATATAAATTCTAAAGGTTAAAAAAAAAAATTTAAAGATATGAAATACAGCCAATACCAGCAAAGGGCTTTCTAACTAAAGCCATCATTTTATGTTATTGCCACTAACTCTGAAACTACAAACAGCATGAAACTAACAGTCAGCTTCTTACCAAACTATCTTAGGTTTAATTAGGAAAGTTACAAAAGTAATTGCTGGTAAGCTTGAAAACAATTCCACAATCACCAACTTGGTTAAACACCAATATATTTACAATGTACACAATGAAAATTCTGCTTTCCTGCTAAGGAAGACCTTTGGAAAAATATCACATTTCGTTCTTTATAGATTTTTACAAGCGCCTCTCTTTAGAAGCTGGCAAAAACACCATCTGATATCGCATCAGCACTGATGTTAAGTAGTAATCATTGACAAATTTAAGACCAAGGTTAACAAAAACTGGTAACTCTTTGGTCAATTTTTATGGTAGGAACAGCATTTTGTTTGGGCCATAGCATGTTCTGTTTATTCATTTTTAATTATTATTAATGACAGTACTCAGGAATCCTGTAACTTTGACTCCTCTATGAAGATCAAGAGACTGTATGAGCGGGCCCTTGTTTGTTCCTATGTGGCATAAACTGGCACCTGAATTTGCCATCCCTGGTTTAATTAATTACCGGTACTTTCAGCCTTGGGTACTAACCTTTTCCTCGACGGCCCTTCTTCAAAATCTGAAGAACTAACATCGTTGCTAGTTGAGGACACCTGGGATGCATCGTCCTTCTCATTCTCTGACTGTTCTGACGCTGGTCCTAATCCCTTAGACTGGTCATTACCAAGGAGCCCTACAGGTGAGAAAAGGGGACAAACACTTAAATACATCGCATCGGGAAGCAGCACTTTACCACAGTTGTTTCTATGTGTTGGCTGATGAAGGCAGACAAGAATGTGGGTACAAGAAAAATTTTCAAGCACACACACCTTTGGAATGGACAGAACAATAAAAGTGCACCCTGTTGTAGGTCTTTTAAGAGAGTGAAAGGCCCAACAAGGAAGCAATTTCAACAGTAGGATATCCAAGCAGAAATTTGGAATCAAGTGATACGTATAATTTAGGGTTCTATTTTAATGTATGTAAACATCTTTTACGCCTAAAGGGTAGAAAGGAGTATCAATTATTATCAAGTCAAACTAGTTATTTGTGAATGTTAAACATTTATTCCACAGATACTGAGATCTTTGGAATTTCCTTCAGGAAACAGTACATGCCACACAATAATAAACATTATCTTGTAGTTACATCTTAGACATAAACTAGAAATCTTAATATACACTATTTTCTCTTCATAACCATCCATTCCTTTAGACTATAGCCAGATTTGCCAAAGACTTCTCAAAGGCTAAGGACTCTCTTTGTAGGATTTCCACCTTTGGTACCAATGGATACGTTTTTAGGGACAAAAATGAGGATCCTGGGGTGAGGTCTGCAGGCCCGTAGGGGGCTCTAGAAGCAGCTATCTACTAAATGATATGGAACTATTTTAATAAGCAAGCAGTAAGGCCGCACTAGTGGGTAACAGCTGAATAAAAGCCTCATGTCTACTGTTCAGACTCCTTTGCATCTACAGATGCAGTGTAGGTTCTATCAATGAGAAGATTCCACTACATCAGCATCCCAGAGCAACACTGCAGTTACCAGCTTTGTGGGCAACAGGAACTGGGCGTGGCAACAATGCTCAGCATAATACTTGCAATGTCATGGGACAAGTGTTTGACCTTGAAGCCAAAAGTACAAGATGACCCTTGATCTTTGGTGCTTTTTGTTTTGTTTTGGGGGGGGGGGGGTTCCCGCTCTGCCAACCTTTCTACCAATTTTATGAGCACTTCAATCCATGTATTCAACAGTATGGTCTGAACTGAAGCAAGAGCGGTTCTTGATGGTCTAAAGACTTTGAGGAACACAGTTTTCTATATACAGTATTTGCCAGCATGATCTGAAGGAACACAGCACAATCAACCAACAAAGCCCTGGGGCCTGCCCTGTTTATGCGTACACTGCCCCAGTTATTTTTTTTTTTAACATCATTTCAGAGAATGAGTAATAACCCAAGGTAGGAAATCTAAACAATGTAGTGTATAAAATCTCATGGCCATTGACCTATATGAATGAGGCTTTAACTGTTAGGGCTATAATACAGCTGTAATACAGAATTGACAATGAATTTCCCAAAGAAGAATAACTGTGGGAAGTCTGCACTGTGAAACAAAAAAGAAAAATAAGAAATCCAACAGTACAGAAACCTCAGAATTCAAGGACAGAAGTGTGGATACCATTTCAGAGATAAGAGCTCTACTATGTGTCACAGTAGCCACTAGTCAAGTGTATCTATCAAAAACCTGAAACAGAGCTAGTCTGCATAAGGAAATGAATTTTAAATTTTACTGAACTTTAATTTTAAAAATGAATTGTAGTATTTCATTAATTTTACATTATTAATTATGCAAATATTTCAGATGTACTAGGTCAAGTTCATTAAAATTAATTTCACCTATTTATTTTAATTTCTTTGAGTATAGCACTCAAAAAGTACAAGTATGCATGATTAAACTAGTATCTCTATTCATCAGCACTACTTTAGAGAACTAATGCAGAGATGGAAGGGGAAAACCCCAATCAGTCAGATAATACAAACAACACTTTCAGCATAAGTTAGAAAGGGACCCAGGATCATAATTTATGACTAAAAAAATAAAAGGGGGAAAAAAATAAGATGCACCTTAATTATAAGTGCATTCCTGGTTGGGTTCCAACTTTCCAAATAAGAGAATATGGCAGGGAAGGTGAATGAAAGGAGGGAGAATCTGAATTTGTTTTGTTTAACACCTACTATACTGTCAGAAGACATGGGCATAATCCGACATAACCTAAATTCTCATGAGAGGAGACACAAACAGTTGTATGCATGGATTATGTAGCACTGGGTGCAAGAAGAAACACTGCATGTATTTAGCGAGGACCAAGTGATAGGGGAGGCCTACTGAATACAAATCAATACCAGATACCAATACCAAATGCCAGCAACACAAAGACCAGAAAACACAAGATTTGCAATGTGTGTGAAGCTATGTTCAAATCATGAAAAAAATAAAGAATGAGGTGCTTTTAGGTGAAGATGGGTAGAAATGTTCCTCTGCCCTTTGGAATATAGTTAAGACCTTAAGTATTTGCTGAGTACGCACTGAATGGGCAAAGGAAGCATTTAGTAAACTAAGTTAACACTACTGAACTGACAGCTTTACTCTTGTCCTTACAGATAGGAAGTAAAGATCATCATTTCTCCAACTTGAGCATGCATGAGAATCATCAAGGGGGTCTGACCCCAAAGCTAGTTTTAGATTCTAATATTCCCAAGTAATGCCGAAGCAGGTTGGGGAGCAGACCTTGAGAACCACTTCTGCAAGGAACTGCAGGGTCACGCCTATGGTTAGAGAAGACCTACTTGCCCTAGGTACTAGAAAGCTGCAGGCCAAGTATGGATTAATCCCAGGTGATGGGCCATGATTATGACCGCACTGTATCAATCAGAACTCTCGGGGAGGCTCCCACACTGAAGCTCTGACAGCTGGGGCACTGGTCCACCTTCTACCAATAGTCTTGTCAAAGTACAGGCTTGCTTACAACACTCAGCAGCAAGGTTGTTAAGAGTCAGTTGATATGATAAACGCAGACTCAAAAAATAACAGGTTGGAGAAAATGTTCATGTCTAAAAAGCCTCTGTGTAAAAAGGCTGCTCCCAAAACAAATGTGTAAGTATAAATTCAGGGAAAATGCATGAACAGATCTTACATGAAAATGAAAAATACCTGGGAATTTTAGTTGGCTTTACTGAGAGCTCAATGTGAGGCAAAGGGATGAAGCCACTCTAATTCCAAGGCATGACTGAGCCACATTAGAAGGACAAACAGTAGTGATTCCACTGTCCCCTTGACCTCCTCAGACTAGAATCTTCGGAGCCCACCACGCTTCACCTCACCCATCCCAAGGAAGAACAGTGAGTGATGATGACCTGAACCAGGCTGCTGCCTGAATCATTCACTCTCCAGATTCCTAAGGGTCCATACACAGAATTAATTGCTTGTTATGCAAATTAAAGGTCCATTGCTTTCGTAGCCTTTTTTGTAGGGGTAGAACTGACTTTGTTCTGCAAATGACCAACTTGCTCCATCTGAGCACTCCCATTCTGTATGTATCAGCCCAGAAAAACACTTATATTTATTTTTAGTTCATAGTCTACACGGTTGGATAAACCAGGACCTTTTCTTTTTCTCAAATCCACTCCCCTTCCTCACATCTCCATTATTCTTTCTAACTCTGATTTTTTTTTCCATTTTTGAATGTTTTAATCCAAACCATACAGCTTGCCTAATCAAGGAGAGCCGGGTCAGCAAGATGGAATACGATGCCACAGGCCAGAATGGCCATTATTACAGCATCGGAGGAACTAATGTGCACTGCCTTTTCTTTGCCCTAACACAGTCCTGCCACCAGTTTTTCAAATTATTATTTTTAGCCAACAGGAAATAATGAAACAACATTCTCTCCTTCACATACTCAAACCATTTTTCATTTTTCCAAACCCCTCCCCCAACCAATACAAACCTTTGTTGAGGAGAGGAGGTTAAACAGAGGAAATTGAATGGCCCAAAGATTCCATCTCCTCACATTAGCATTTGTTCTTTCTCCTCTATTAATATTCAGTAGGTTGAACTTAAATTAAACCATGTCTATTGTCTTTCACAAAAGCAATAAATATGAGCTCAAAATTCCAAATCACTGCACAGCTTGGGGACTGTGCCTGCAACCATCAGCTAGACACCCTCAGCGGCTAAGAGCACTGCGTCGCATCCAGAACACCACTCAACCACCAAGGTGCAGCACCCAAGAAATCACATACAAGAGAACCCTGTCACCAGAGGTTCTGCGAATTCAGAAGCTATTCCTGCCGTCTCCCAAACTGGCAACAAATGAAAAGCCTTCCAAAGGCTGCACAAGGAAATGCAATCGAACAGGCTTCTTTCTGGGTCTGGAACAGCAAGAGAAAAGGGCTAAGATTTCCTGTTGCAGACTGGAGCTGTTATATGTATGATCACCTCCCTGCTGCCTTTCCTTGAAGGCGGCTAGAAAAACTGAAACAACTTAGGCCAAAGATTCCTTTGGCTAAGGAACTTCTAAGCAATCGATGAGACTCTAGATTTCAAAATGCAAACATGTTAGACATTAGGTAATTCTAACACCTGAAAGGGGCTGCGGGGGACTAGAATATGTAGTCCTTATAATTGTACAGTTACAGTACTCTAGATGCAAAGAGGTCACCGATCCTCTCCATCAGCTACATATATATGACAGAATATAAACCAAATCCAATGTCTCCCATTCCACAAAACCAACACCGATCAAAAAAAGGGTTAAAAAGAGAGGAAAAACAAGGAGGGCTTTGAAGCTATTCCAGGGCTTCTCAAACATCTGGAGCAGACCAAACTTATTAGCATATTAGGCAGAGTCAATGTATTTAGCTTTGTTGTGGAAGCCATGTACAAAAGGTGATTCGGTGTTACAGAGCCAATGGCGTCTGTCACCCTGTCACTGTGAGACAAGGTATCGCATTACATATTAAACAGACAAGCATCCAAAGGGGGCTTTCATTTCCAGCAGTAATTTCTCAGCGTGTGTGTTTGTGTGTGTGCACGCACATACAGCACTAAGTTGAGAGGAAAATTATAAAAGCAGCCCTCTTGGTTGAGACCCTCTCTGAGGTAATCAGAATGCATGCTTTGCCGCCATTAC